GATCTACAAGGCACAGAGAACATGCATGAAAGAGACTGCTTGTTCTTCACACAAGAAGAGCTCACAACATGCTCTGCGACCCAGCTCTTCACGTACTGCTCTTAGAAATCACAGGGACATGCCTGTCATTCATACAAACGTTTGAAAGAAACCCAAGATAAACACATTGCCTTGCTAAAAATAGCGTCACTAAGACAGAATCAATCACAATGAAGTTTCACAATTGGCTTAAGCCAATCTTGGAGAATCCACGTTCTTCTTCCTCACCCACCCACCCAGTCTCACCACTCTGGTGACAGCAATTAGTCCTCAGGTAGCTGTGAGGTCAGCTGGATCGTATCTCTGCCTTCAGTGAAAACTAACCCTACAAGAAAATGCATCTGAACACAAAGCAGCAAACTGATCCAGCTGACTCCCCAGCCACATGCACATCAGTGCCTGCAAGAATGAGCAGGTGGGAACATCCCATTCTGCAACAGCACAACTCCACACCAGCTGAAGCTGGTCACAAAAATTTAACCCTCAGCCAAGCTGGAAAATGATATCATTGTTCTCCTCCAAATTTGGGGTTTTTTTTGCTAACAAAACAACAAAAGCAAGACAGTGCTTACAGTGTCATTACACAAATACCATTGCTGGTCACACTGAGCAGCACTGTTTGATTTTTCCCAGTTCTCAGTCTTGCTTTTTGTTCAGACTGTAAACATCTCTCTTTTCCATGTTCATAAAACGCTTGCCATAAGGTTCTTCTGCTCTATGGCAATACAACTTACTAAAATACGCCAAGCCCCAAAGAAACATGGGCTGTTTAAAGACTAAGCTATCAAACTGGTACATCTCCTTTCCACTGCAGATCAGAACATGCACCAATCTTAGCACAAAACCTACTCACAGGTTGTGCAGCACAGGCAATGCAAGAGGGTAATGGCCTTACACATCCTCCTTGAAAAGGTCCAAAGAGAAACAATCCAGAACACAACTAAACCATCTGAGAAGTGAGCAGCAGTAAAAGCAGTAAGCAAATTGACTGACTGAATTCACATTTCCAGAGCCAAGACCATGCAATCAGGCACTCCACCTTGCTATGAAACTCTGAAGCACTCCTAGCTAACAGCATGCACTTTGATGTCATTGAGTTTGTTCACTGCCAGAAATCACATTTGTCAGTTTTTATTTGTGTCTTGCCCTCTGTGTTTCATTTCAGGAGGCTGACAGACAGTTAACACATGTTGATAGATAACAAAGGATGGAGAAGGGGAGAGACTTTGCCTGCTAAAGGGCATTGCTACCACCCACTCCATACCTGTCATGGAAACTACCAGACTCCGAAGACAGACATGGGTATCACATGCAGTTGACAAAAAAAGAAAACCAAATCGTCTTGAGACAAGAAACAACACCTGGCTACTTACTCAAAAGCCGCTAAAAAAACAAAGGTGAATGGAAGTGTCAGTTACAGGCATCAGAGGTTTTTTTACACCGAGTTTTGGTCACTGTTCAGTGGACTTTGAGTAGAGTTACAAACTGCAGGAGCATGACTTCTCATTCCCTCCCTGGGATCAGAAACAAGCAGTCTTCTTGATTCTTCATTACATGTGCAAAGCCAGAAGATACATTAACTCACAAAGCAAGCGGAAATCATTTTCCCCATAGAGAGTCCACATTCACAGACTGAAGAGCAACTGTGCATTTATTCTCACCACTACCACCCCAGGACTACAAGACTAGGTTATAATTGTATGAAATGCACAGAACAGACATGGGATCTCTTGAACAAATTAAAAGTCTCCAAGAAGAAACAACAGCTGGTGATTTGCACCAGGGCATCCAAGGCAACACATGAATCTACCAAAGAGAGAAAAGGTATCAGCCAGCATTCAGAAACGAACCTGTTCATGCCTTGGAAAAGCCACCTGAGAAAACAGAAGAAAGCATTCAGTAAGGAAGTTTTTAAACACAAATACATCTATCAGGCCTGCCTGGGGGAGGAAAAAAAAACAAACAACAAAACAAACAAAAATATTATATTCCAGGCAATTATATTCTCAAGCAACCAGAAACCAATACGCAAACTTCTTGAATTCAAGGAATGATTCACAGCTCTTGTATTTTTTCATCCTTAACTTCACAATTAGCAAAAGAATTACATCCTGAGTACATACACAGAACTAAGGGAACAAAAGAAGCTGCAAAATGATTATGAGAACTTCTTTTTAGAAGCTGCTTTATTTGTTATTTCCTGAAATAATTAAAAGAAAAGAAAAGAAAAGAAAAACTTCAGCAATCTCGTGTTCAGCATTTTTGTTTGCCGTAAGCTTGTCTCCTACGTAAGTCTCAAAGTATCTCCAGGAAGCTTGAACAGAAGACATTGATTACAGACATTATCTTCTTCCAAGACTTCTCAGTATCAGCTCTTCGTAATTTAGATGCCATCGTGACACATCCTAAATGTTGTGACACATCCTAAACATCATGACACACCCTAAACATCCGCACCTCTCAGAAGTTTGCCTGCTTATTCATTTGAATTTGAAAAACATTAAGAAACCCCTTGCATATAAGATCAAGGAGAGTCTTGCAAACATGAATCCTGCCTCAGAAAAGCCCAGGTGATAGTGTTTGAATTTTTAGACACTTCAATGCTTGTATAGGTTCCGTAATTCTAAATCTATCAGAAAAAGCATGCACCTTTAAGAAACCCCAATATTTCACTTACAGATGGCCAACTGTGACCACCAGGATCCACTGGAGAACAATAAAGTTATTTCATATACACAATCATATCCATGGATATTTTTAAACATAAAAAGTCACCACAAATAACTAAACAAGTTATAATCCTCATCAAAAATGAACAATCGGCAGAGAGCTCCATATTCTCTTCAGTGTTTATACCAACTAGTACTGTCAAGTGATTAAAACCAAACCTACTCCTCTATGACAGCAGTGTATTTTTGTTTTGTTATTAAAAACAGTGACTCCTTCTGGCACAGCATAGCTAAGGGCAATTTATAAATTAAATACTAAAAGCTCTCAGTGCCACATTCAAGGTTTGATTAAAATAACTGCTATGGTTTATATTTTTCTGTTGCATTAACTTTAATTATGTGCAACTCCAATGCGGCAAACCCCATTAAAGTCAACCAAGTTGTTTTAGATTTACTCCCAACTTAAATGCCACAACTTCAGCGTCTGAGAATCAGCAAAGGAATTCTTCTTTATTAGGTCGCTTACTTGGGAGACAAGAGAAAAAAACCCTCATAATTAGAGTGTAGAGTTTAACGCTCTACTTGTTCAAATGTGAACACAAAGCAACCAAGCTAAAGCTATTACAGTATTCATAATTCATATACAACCTTTCACAATGCTGAAGTGACTTCTTTTGTAATTGTTGTCTTTTGCTTAATAAAAGACAAGGTCCATCTGTAATGTTAAGTCTAGCTGTGGAAGCATACACTTCATTGCAGCACATGCAGTGGGAACAACAATATGGTTGAATCCCTTTTCAGATCCACGATTGTTTGGTCCCAAACAATTTTCTGCAAGGTTGCGTTAACAATGCACTTGCCCATTTATCTTCACTGCAGCAGTGCTGGAACTACAGAAGTTACAGAACACAGCAAAATCACCGCAGCTCTACAAAACAGGCAGTCATCTTGCTAGACTAAGCAAGATTTTTGAGAGCTTGTGTTTCAGCAGGAGTTTGTCTCCTGTAAGCTGTTCCGCGAACAGTGCTGGCTGCTGACCGGCTGAGGTGATGAACACATGTGGAGAAGGAACGTAGAGAGATTCTATTTCAGGCTTATTCCTGTTACAACATTGTTTGGTTTATACAGCCAGGGCTTTCTTCTCAAGAGCTACTGCATGAAAGCCTCTCGCTATGTAACTATGAATAATAACAGAACATCTGAAATAAAATAAATAAAAAAAAATACCACTGTCCCTTGCAGGTCCAACCACTGAGCACAGCTTCAGTGCAAAAAAACCTTGAGGCAAAGAAACAATCACACCAACTGATATACTTTGAGGTTTAAGAGGTGCTTGATCTATACATTCCTTACAATGCTCGATTCATTTCTGTGGCACTAACCAACTTGCAAAGAACAAATTTGGGATTTTGCACTAACTCAATCAGAACTTCATATGTGAAATTGCAACCTCAGCCACTGAAGTTGGGCTACTAACTCCAGCAGAGAGCGTGGTACCTAAAAAGTATGATCTCCTCCATTTATTAATCACATAAGACATCATTTTAATATTCCCCTATAATGTTTCAAACCCAAAGCATCACTTATGAGTCTGAAGAGGTTTCAATTTTTGCTGAAGCATAAAAAGGTACATAAACAAGAAAAGTTATCTGAACACTGAAAACAGGTTTAGAGTGACAAATTACGCCATCAACAAGCAAAGGATAATCCTAAAGATCTGAAATTATTTTTTTTTAAGCTTGGAACATTTGAAGCTACTCTGACGAGTATCTGGAGTTTAACCACAGTTTTAGTTTTGTAGCAACTTTTCAAAATCATCAGCACAGAACCATAAATAAAAACAAACCATGGAAGACCAAGCATAACGAAAACAGAGTCTTACTAGCAACTTCTGCCAGGCATGATAGCTACCATTTAGCAACGCTACCACCACTCATTACCATTAACTTTCTGTTTGCAGGACAGGAAAAAAGATCCAACCCCACTGTTGCTTTCCATTCTGCAAACAGACATAAATCACTCTGAACAGATTAGACAGATGCTGCACAAGGTACAGGCCTCCCGCTTGGTTCACAGCCATCTGTGCAGTGCCATATTTTCAGATGAGAATGGGTCATCATTAAGCATTACCTACATTCAAAATTAATTGTGCATGATTTCGACTCTGCTCTTAATTACTCCCTAATATTTTCCCTGGCAGTCTACGTACTTTGATTACAGTAAGCATCGTTTGAGGGTGGGGGTGGAACAGAGGAAGAACAGAGGGAAGAGAAACAGAGAGGTGGCACTTACTGTGTTGCATTTTGTCCCACACACCACTTGCTGGTGGTTCAGCCACTGGGAGGCAAACACTTTATTAAGGGTTCCAAGATGAAATTCTCTCTCCTTCAGGAGACTGGGAAGATGCTGGGCTGCGTATCCATGCAACAAGCGGTGATAGCTGGACTCATTCTGCGTCCTGACCTCTCTACCTTTCAGGTAGTACACCAGAGACCTTTTTACCGGGGACAGTCTTTTCCTTTTGTGAACCGAGTGATCCCATCCATACTGTGGAAAGTAAACACAGAAATTAGATAAAGCAAACGGAACAAACTTAAAACATGACTCCTCCAAATTCAAAGATATTACCAGCAAAACACTAAAGTCTTCCAAACTACCCACGGAATACCGTACACCAAGATTTAACTCGGAAGTGCTGACGCTGCCTTCACCGACGTAAAATTAAACGTCTTTACTAAAGATGTAATACCACGACGATGCTAAAAACAGTCCTCACCGGCTCGGCGCCGTTAAGACGCCAGACTCTTCTATAAAGAAACCAGAGGAAGCCCAAAAGCGCTTGAAACAAATAGGAGAGGGCAGCCCCGACCGACCCCCAGCCGGGAGCTCGGCGGGGGCGGCGCGGGGGCTGCCGGCTACCGGCCGCGCCGTTCACCGGCCTCCTCCGGCCCCTCGGCATCGCTCGGGGGTAGCACCAGGCAGGGGGTTTGGGGG